CATTGTGCGATCAGTGCGTCAAGAGCACTCATAAACGCATTATTATAAAGGACTCACGCGTGCTTACTGTACGACTCCTGTACGCCACCGCAATCGTCTTTACCTTGATTGCAGTCTTCACCCTGGAGTCTCGTCAGTAGGTCACGCATGCGCTGATAGCTCTGAAGTAAAGTAACCATGAAACCTCAGAGAATTAGTTGCTATGGCTACTTACATACCCTGAAAGTTACCTCCGTTTTTGGAACCGAAAGCTGAGTTTATCTGCTTACTTACCCTTACATACCCAGGTATGTCAAATAACCTGCTTTATGGAATACCCCCTGATCCTGGAGTAGCACATTTTTGATGTCTCTCTGACACACACATTTGTGGTCTTTACTAATTAGCTGATGAGTTGAATCAAGTGTAAGTACATGTAACGTGTAACGGACACCTTAAAATAAAATGTTACCAACCTTTTTCTCAAATGTGGAATAGACAACATTTCATTACATCTAAATGCCATGTAAATAGGAAGTACCGTCAGGAAATATACACTTGCAAAGAGGTTAAGTGAATCCAGCACAACTTTATTTGTCAACACAGGGCAAACACAGGATGAACAGGTGAGTAAAAGTGCACAGTTTTGAATAGGGTGAGCTATGTAGATATCTTTTGTATGACAGGTTGGGATAATGGCAATGGGAACCAGAGTGCACACACCTCAGCAGTTGAAACAACAGGTAAGTACAATGGGTAAATATCCTTAGGAACAATCAAGGAACACCAGAAATCAACACAGGGAAGCTTGGAGAACAGGTAATCAAGTATTTCCTAGTTCAAGGTCAGACACTGGCTGCATCTGAAAACCTTGGCAGCTGACTTGTTGCCTCACTGCCTTGTCAGGCAGTGACTTTGAAGGCAGCATTTGCGCACAAAGGCACCTCACAAAACTGATTTTGGACATGCTTCTGAGGCAGCGTAACGGTTTAATGATCTAAAACAAAATTGTGCAAGCTTTGGTGATATCTAAGCCAATATTTAATTACTATAATACTGATTTCTTGCTAGAAATAACATCAAAAGGTTGGTCAGAAACATACATTCATTCGAAGGCATTTGCGTTTGCATTTGCGCACAAAGGCACCTCACAAAACTGATTTTGGACATGCTTCTGAGGCAGCGTAACGGTTTAATGATCTAAAACAAAATTGTGCAAGCTTTGGTGATATCTAAGCCAATATTTAATTACTATAATACTGATTTCTTGCTAGAAATAACATCAAAAGGTTGGTCAGAAACATACATTCATACACAAACTGACCACCAAACTTAACTTTCAGATGCCATCTTTATTTATTTATTTTATTTTATTTTTTTGCTCAACCATCATGGAATGTAGCGCACAGGATTGTGGGATATCAAAGGCAGCAAACGATACATCTATGCTGCCAAAAATCATTCAGATGAAGGCACCTCAGGAGGCAGGAAGTGAAGCTAACATTGGATTTGAACGTGCCTTGATGCCTTCTGTGGTGAACAACAGTCAGGATGGCATTCCACAGATCATTTCATGGCAGGGCCCCTCTCTAACTGCCGGCGTGGAGGGTGATGTGCCACACTGTGATTGGATCTTGGTGGAGGAATAAACAAATGCTCAGAAACATCAGATAAGATGCCAAGACAAATGCCAGACACACCACCACAGGAAGGGAGACCTCCTGCACCCACCACCACCTAAGAGAGCACTTCTCATTGGACTACAGGCTGACCCTAACCACCAAACCCAATCCTAAGGGTTAAGAAAGAACTGCCATATAAAATTCCTTAGGACCTCTGGATGAAGCAGCAGTGGCTGAAACAAAGAAAGGTCACAAAGATCTTCTATCCAAATCCATTCCTACCTTTGTTTGGAGACCTTAAATTGGTGGTAACTGCAACACATTCACTTCACCCACAGACAAAGTACACTTTATGTTAATGGCTATTGACTTTCAACACAACATTTCGAGGGAGCAGGCCTATTAACATATTATGGAATAAACAAATGATAGTTCAACTGTTTCCTATCATGTTTGGACTCTATTTTCTCCTTATGATGCTGGTAATAATGGTAATAATTTGTAAGATGTTTGGTAAAGAAATAAAGCATAGGTAAAATGTTAAAGACACTGTTTAACTGTTTTTTGCACTCTCCTCTCTGCAAATGATTTCCACACTAGGGTGGGTAACACCATGGCCACCTCGAACACAAGTGGCCAATCACGTTCCAGGAATGGAGAGACGCCAGATTCCAATTTCCTTCTCATCAGAAAGGGATAAATGTACCCTTCCAAGAGACACTTCTTGTTCTGAGTTTCCACGGTAGGAGGCAAATATCAGATAACAAACATTCTCCATGAGTCTCCAGTATGTTCAGTGAGACACTTACAGACACAACAACGTTCTGTGTTTCCGACACAATGGGGAAGGAGACATTAACAGACACCATGGCCTAATTTTCTGACCTGACGAGAAAAAAGATTTCAAGACAGTTAAGGTTCAGCTCAGCTTTTGAGTAAAACTTCTATATTGTATTCGGCTACCCACCAGTTGCAAAGGACCCAGCAGTGACGGACCTCACCTGACTCTTGCAACTCAGAAAGCAGCACAGCCCAGTCCGCAAAGGACCTCTTCATTGGCAGTTACTGCCTGCAACACACGGCTCCTCAGCGACACAACCGGACTGCAAAGGATCCTGTGAAGACCCATGTGATCCAGCTGCCTGGTCAAAGCTCTAAGGACTCGCTTAGCACAACAGAAGTTTAGGAAGTGACGTCACACGTCACTTCCTGTTTGTTGCTGCCGTGTGTTTTGAGTTTGAGCTCCGTCAAGTTAATTCTTTATCGTCTATTTTTTATCTTAAAATCAATTTTATACACCATCATTTTCGTTTCTATAACGTGTGAATATATCCCCTATCGTATTCTACAACAAAAACGTTTGTTGTTTCACCTATCAAGTCGTGTCGATAAAGTATAATAGGATAATCCTGTATAGTGGTTTATCCTATATAGCGCTTGCATAAAGCAAGTAGTGCATACACTTGTAGCTGTTATGTAGTCATTGTAAGCCTTCATTCACGCGCAAGCGCAAGCGCACGAACCCACGAACGCATGAACAAGTGGGCTCCCCCAAAGTCCACGGTAAAGTTCGAACACTGGTTATAAGCATGAGCCCCGTCAGACTGGTCGTGGCGGCGGTGTTGCAACAATATATAGTGATATTCTCAATGTTACTCAGAAGACAGGATACAGGTTTAACTCATTTGAAATACTTATTGAATTAAACTTGAATTTAGCATTCTCCAGGCCAGTGCATTGACCACTACTGGAACGCTGTGACCTCCCCACTGCACGCAATCCACATCATCAGTGGAAGACGTCTCTACCGCCGGACTAATCACCCAACCGTGTGGAATGTAATTATAAACTTACCAAACCTCTTTCCTAAAGACCTTGGCCTTGTTTATACCCTTACAAAAATTAACAATGGTTTTATTTTGCATAAATTAACCATTGTTGATCAATTTGTTGTATGCCTGCATGCATGTTTTGTATTCTTAAATTCCCATATCATGTCACTACCTGAAATAACCTGTGCCGTTTTACTTTTCTTCTTCTTCCTTTTTTTTTTTTTTTTTCGTTTGTTTTGTTTTTTCTTGCTTTCATATGTAAAAAAGATGTAACTACAAAATGTTGTATTACTGTTATATATTGTTACACCTCAATAAACAGACTGTTCAAAAAACCTGGTTTAATTGTAGTAAAAGTGTAGTAACCATGTTTTTTGCCGTATTGATTACCATTTGTATAACCACAGTTTTACTACATATACCATGGTTAAACTATGGTTAGTGTAGCAAAACCATGGTTTATTTAAACAATTTTATGGTAACAATTTAATTGATGTTCAACAAATAAAAAACAGATATAATACAGATAAACAAATGATAAGGCTTAGCTTAATGAATATTAAATCCCCTTCTACAAAAGTGCTTTTTGTAAATGATATGATCACAGATCATAACTTAGATGTGCTCTGTTTGACAGAAACCTGGCTTAAACCAGATGACTACATTACTTTAAATGACTATAACTTGTTTGATGTAATTATGTTTCATATAACATTATCCAAAGAAACAAGTGTTAATGCTAAATCCCCTGTGACGTTTATACTGGCTACTGTATACAGGCCACCAAGGCACCATACAGACTTTATCAAAGAATGTGCAGATTTTCTGAGTTAATGCAGGCTGCAGATAAAGTTTTAATTGTTGGTCATTTTAATATCCATGTTGATAATGAAAAAGATGTATTAGGATAAGCATTTATAGACATTCTAAACTCTATTAGGGTTAGACAACACGTGTCAGGGCCTACTCATTGTCGTAATAATACTTTAGATTTAATACTGCCACATAGAATTTATATTAATGGCGTTGAAATCCTGCAGCAGAGTGATGATATCTCGGATCATTATCTAGTCTCGTGTATACTCCATATTTTTACTTATAGAAAATCTCTAAAAAATGCTAGATCTGCTTACTTTTTACTGCTTACTAATTACTCACCCTCCTGTCATTCCAAACCCGTAAGACCTTCGTTCATCTTCGGAATACAATTTAAGATATTTTTGATGAATTAAACAAAACAAACAAAAACAAAAATAACAAACAAAATAACAGTGTCAGTTACTCGCGACCCCCACTATCCTCGGAGGTGGTTATGCACCAATAGGCCTATCCAAACATGAGCATAATGACAACACAAAAGAACACAATGGTCTAACAACCATATAATTTTTTATAGTAATTTACTCATTCGTTTAATTTCAACATTAACCTCACCTAATGAGATGGGTGGGCACAATGCTTGGAGCACAGCAAGTCCATTCTTGTTTTAATTTTGGAGACTGCCACTCGAAGATCATCCTCCATGTTCAGTCGCGACCTGTATTTACTTTTAATGTACGTGAGTGCCGAAAAAGTATTTTCGCACAAGTAGGTAGTGCAAAACGGCATCAGTACATCCATAGTGGCCTTGGATAGCTGAGGGTATTCCCTCTTGACTGAAATCCAAAACTCAGCCAGTGTCTTGGAAATAAACACTGTCTTCAATGTTCGGTCGCTTGACAGTTCAACCAATGCGTCCTCCAGGTCGGATGTCAGATGATTTGCCCTCGTTACAGTGAATGGTGATCTTATCCAGTCATATTGTTCTGGAGCTGTTTCTCCTCGGAAATACCTGTTAAAGTGTTCCAGGAGGGCTTGAAGGTGGGTAGTGATAGACTTCTTCACTATATTCGTCCAGCTCAGAAAACATATCAATCCTACCCATTTCAACTCGCTCAGTCCAGCGCTCAAGTTTTCTCTTGAATGCGTGGATTTTATTATTCAGCGACATGATGTTTGTGTTTTTACCTTGCAATGACATATTAAGTCCATTCAGTTTTTCAAATATGCAAGCCAAATACGCTAGCCTTGTTAACCAGTCAGGATCAGTGAGGTGGTCAGTGAGCTGGGATCCATGTTCCATCAGAAATAAGCGCACTTCGTCCCGCAGCTCAAACAGGTGGCTGAGCACATTCCCTCGTGAAAGCCACCTGACATCTGTATGGAATAGCAAGCACTCATGCTCCGATCCCAGTTCGTTACCGAGAGTGGCAAACAGTCTGATATTGAGTGGATGCGCTTTTATATAGTTGACCATTTTTATATAGTTGACCAAGTCTCAAGAACACGTTTAAGTTCTGGGTCAAGTGTTTTGCTCGCAAGAGCTTCTCTGTGTATAATACAATGTGTGAATTTTACGTTAGGCGCCACTTGTAAGACTCTTGCTTTAAGACCTTTCTTTTTCCGACGCTCCACCACCGTCTGTACACACACCGATGCACTCGCTCCAAGACAGTCCATCTTCTTTTAGTTTGTTGTCAAGTTTTGTGAAAATGTCCTCGCCTGTGCACGTTCCCTCCAGTGGGGTACAAAACAGAATGTCCTCGTTAAGTTTTCCGTCAAAACTGTATCTGACGAATACAAGCAGCTGGGCAGAGTTTGATACATCTATGGATTCGTCTAAGTGTAAAGCATATTTCCCTTTCTTCACTCTGTCCACCAGCTGACAGTTTATGTCCTGAGCCATGTCGGAGATGCGCCGGGCAACAGTACCGTTAGACAGCGGCACTGATTCTATGCATAGCCCGACTTATATCTATAGCAGCGGGTTTAATGAGGGTTTCCCCAATCGTGTGTGGCTTTTTTGCCTGTGCAATTAAATATGCCACCTCATATGATGCCTGTTGAGCTTTGGCAGGTATTGTTGTTTGTTTAGTTAGGACTTTCTTTTGGCCTTGTAACTCTCGCTCCTTTTGCCGGAAAAAATCTACTGGTTTAACAGCAAGAGAGGGGTGCTTGGTTTTCAAGTGTCGTAGCATTTTTACAGGCTTTAGGCTTTCAAGTGCAAGCACCTCAGTGCACACAACACATTGGGGATGTTGTACTTCGTTGACGATGACACATGTGAATCCATACTGGATAAATTCCTCTCGATACTTTCGACACTTAGAGTAAAGGATGATCCGATGAATGTCCTCACACGCCTGTCTCTTTCCGTACCTGAGGTCGATGGCCTTTCTGATGGTGGTGCTTCTCAGCTTTCCTCCGCTGGCCTCTCTGCTGGCCTCCCTGCGTTGTCTTTGGTCGATATTAACCAACGTTTCATTTCAACAAAAATAATATCCTAAGCCTAAAGCGAAAAAAATTACCTACGTGCACATGTCGGAATGTTTAACATGGTGCTGTAAATTGATCTGCTGCAACTGACGCTATTGCTGTGTCGTTAATCTGTTGTAATCACCTCAGGGGTCTCGATCGAACGGAAAGAAAATTGAAAGGCTGATGGCTTTTTTATTTGAATGTTTTTTTTAATGTAACTATTAACTACTATTTTTTATCTTTTGTTAGTTATGGATAAAATATGTTATTTCTAATAGTTTAAAAAATTTATTTGATGGCCATGATGGGGAGGAGCAGGGAACGGGGGACTTATGCCGGCTGCCCGAACCCGGAGGAGCCGTCGCCGTCCACCGGGCGGCGGAGGAGTGTCGAGCCGCCCACCGAGGGCTATGTGACGAGTGGGGTGGGGCCGAGAGCCGTGGGAACGGAGCGAGGCCTGTGGAGTAATTGATAATGAGCGACCCGTGCACCACTCACCGGTCTCGAGTCTCACGGAGGAGCTCCGGAAGGATAAAAGGGAGGAGTGACGACAGTGTCGGACGAGAGAGGACCAGGCCTGGAGTTTATTTTGTGTTTTG